CGCCGACTGTGGCTATTTTAATCTACCTGTGTGTGTGTGTGTGTGTGTGTGTGTGTGTGTGTGTGTGTGTGTCTCTATCAAGATGTGACTGTTCGAAAAAAAATCACATGACCCCCAATCACATTTCTGGTGACGTAACCATCTATAAATAAAGAAAAACAAGTCATTTTAACACTTTGAGTGGAAACACTGAATAATAAAGCTGTATTAAAGCAGTCTCTTCACACTGCACAACACATGGATGAATAGAAGCTGATTAGTATCTAATATCTATATGTTAGTATCTTATATCTTGAGATACAGCTGCTGCATGGAGACTTATAAAAATGCCACCCTGGACACACTTTTTTGAGAATAACAATGTATTATGGAAATATGTGATTTATCTATTTATTTATTTTGTTATAATTTATCAGCTAATTCCCTTTAGAAACTTCAACCTGCCTGTTGGACTAAATCATTTTTTACTACACGTGTTACACAAACAGGTTATCACAGGCAGGTAGATTTGGACTTTGGGCTTTGTAGTTCCTTCTACCCTCCATGCCCGTGTCTTTGCATTGCATATTGGCTACAGAGCCAATCGATCCTGACTCTGGTTTTGGTGGCCGCTGTGTCTGGCTGTTGCTTTAAAAGCCAGAGCTAAATTAGGCATCGCAGTGGAAATAAAACTATCAATAGGTGCAGCTTACTGGGGGAGCCGGTTTGCATTGTGGCATCCAGCCTGTCTGAATGGCATTACATCACCGTGGAGTCAAAAATCCCACACTTCTCTGAGTCCAGGCTGCTGTGTGCGCTTTCACATTCACTGAATCCGCCCTGTCACATGCAGGTCATCTGTGGATGTGTTATTAGATTATTATTACTACCATCAAACACCGAACTGCATTTAAAGAGCATTGAACTCTCTGCTCACTATAAGTAACGTATATCAGACAAGATAAGCTCCTGAGTTCCAGTTAAACAGTGAAAACACACGGCAGGGATTCTAAATGTTTAAAGACAATGTTTCAGAACGGTTAACCTTTAATAATTTGACCACAGTGAATATGTTTGATAAGAAAATGTCTAATCCGTCAAAGATATTTCTGTCTATATTTAGACTTTCTCACACCAGGGATGAATTGCATTCCAAAGCTTATCTGGAACAGCAGAGAAAGCTTTTAACAGTGTCTGAGCTCCAGTCTCACCCATCCCCCCACCCCCTCCCCCGCAGTGTGTTGCTTCCTCCTGAAAAAGAAAAGAAAAGAGAGAGATAGAGAGAGAGAGGGGGGTGGATGGGTGGAGGTTAACAGACAGATGCCCATATTAAGCACATCCGGCTCCTGTGGCACATGCAGAGGAAAACCCATGACGCGAGCGGGAGCCCTTGTTTCCTGAGGCCATTTAAAGTAACAGCAGAGAGGATTGCGTCAGGGCGTTCGACTTCCCTCAGACCATATTTGGGCAATGGAATCGATTCCAGGATGTATCGTAATAAGAAACGGCGTGGTAGCTTTTGCGCTGGATGTATTGATATTCCATCAATATGACAACATATAACGGTCGAGTTTACTCCGGAGGATCAGTTTGAAAGTGTGATTTTAATTGAGAGAGAGACACATAAAGAGGGAGAGAGAGGGAGAGAGAGAGAGAGAGAGAGGCTCTTCCTGCTGTCCTAAACTTCCAAAGGAATTTGAGGTATGCAGGTGAGTGTTTATGTTAAAATCAGTAGGCGCCATGTGGAAGGAAGGAGGGGGGG